CACACAAATAATATCACCATACTGGCCCAATTACATGTAACACACCTCTTGATAAATAATTACATTGCATTATTTAGATAGGAACAGTTATGAATGAAAGCTGGAGGCAATGTACATGCCTGTAAACAGATGTCTAATTACAACACACCTCCAAAAAATATAATTATCTTGACCAAGAGGCTAAGTTTTTATTATTAAAGCCATGTAAAGGTGTAATAATTAGGAGGGTGCATTAATTGGGGTGAGTATGGTATAATTATTTTCCCTCTCTCTCCTCTATTTTTCCTATCATACTCTATAATACTGACCTTACAGTACATCCCAGCTTGATAGAAAGCTCTATCAGCAGGTATGACATCAGTGTGTCGTAGGAGTGATACTGATATCTTAGCTACTATACCATTGAGCTGTGGTACTCTACTGCAAGCTGATCAAGTAGCAAGATAATGTGATACCAATAGATACTGCTCAAACTCTCTACAACTCAAACTGCCAGACTCTGATGTACGTGATAGCTCATCAACCTGCCAGTAGCATGAGAAATGATGAAACATTATACAGACATGTGTACATACAACAGCATACAAGAATGTTATTCAATACCGTATAGAACTTTATTTTGGCAATTTTGCTGCATAATTATAATTGGCAGTTTTTAATTTGGCAATTTTTGTGTACACGTGCATTACTGAGCATGAGCATTAATGATTGGCGGTTTTAATATTGGGGATTCTGCTTGCAAACCGCCAATCACCAAAATAAACTCTGCCAAATTAAAGCACTATACAGTAATACATTGTACATTGGAAATTCAGTGCACTAACATAATATGGATGAACACATATACTCATTCATTGTACTGTACACTGTACATGTACATGTATGTATAAATCCTTGTGTGTATTGTATGTGTCCATATTCCATAGAATTATAGCTGGAGTATACAATTTGGAATTTTTCCAAGATATACATGTACATGAGTAAGAATGTACAATGTACATGCATGTGTATGGTACTATATTGTACATTAGCAGGTACTTACAATAGAGAATAACATATTCCTGAGACTAGAGTAGATTGAATAAGCTGTCCCTCCTTCAAGATTCTCTCCAAACACTTCCATGCAGAGCCTCTTGTATATGTTAAAGTTTTGAGGTAAAGGAGGAGCACCATATGTAGTGAAGAGTTTAAGAGCTGACAATGAAGCATTGGACTTTATAAAATGCCACATATTTGAATAATACACTGGGACCCTGGGGAGATAGACAGAGATACAAATGTATGCTATAATTAAATATTAACCAATTAATTTTAGAGCCTACTTACATGCACCTGAAATAACAAATAAACTA